ACAGGTGCTGCGGCTTTTGGACAGAACCAAAACATCCAAACAGGTAACCTCCGTGGGCCATGTAGTCCAGAATGCGGAGCCGCAAACGACTTTTTAGACATACAATCAGTGCGTCCAAATGAATTTACTGCCATCAACATGAACTTGCAGACTATTCAAATGGATCCAGTTGGTGGTGGACCCGACGTTCTCGCCGTACAGAGACAATGCCATCGAGTAATTGGTTCTCACGAGTCTTTAGATGATTCCACTTCGCACAAGTTCAATCGGCTAGCAGGATCTGATGTCGGGCCTGAATCGGGCTATCAACGCCGTGTTTCGCTCATGACCAGTCTTATCGAGGAGGCGGTTGCCTGTGAAAAGGCCGAGCTGGCCACCGAGGATGAGGACGGGGACGTCGCAATTAGTATAGGCCGGGAATATCATCTTGATTCTCCGATGCCACCACCTGTAGCAGCTGGCCGAGCCGCTGGTAACATAAGTACGACAGGCATATTGGTCGGTCGGGGTTCTTGCGCTTCGAAAACCTTTTTATCGTACCCATCACATAAACTTATGAAGAGGAAACGCTACATCTGAAATGAATCTGGCTAGCTTATTTACACCTTTAGAAACTTACTACTTTATATATACCCTTAAGGTTTTCACTTAGGCTTACAATTATGTTCCTTTGGCCAACAATTCTTGTCGCATCGGAATTTCTCTATTATCTTTTGTTGTCTATTATTCTACCACTACTTTGATCACTATGGTCTTCTAGTTTTATATATTTTTTTATTTTCTTCTCTGTTTCCTTTATTGTGCTTTTTATTGCATCTCAACCCTCAATGTGTAGTCCTTCATCTAACCATAGAATTATTTTTCTTTATTTTGAGTCCTTTTTCTATTCCCTCGACTATAACGAATATTTTACTTAACTTAGTTTTATATTATCTCTTTTATGCGTTTACAGATGTTTTTGTCCTAATATATATTTTATCACTTGCCTATTTGCATCTGTGAGCTCAAGCACTTTAGGTTATATCCCTACCAATGGTACTTATACTAGTTGCAAAATTTACGTCAATATGCAATTATTTGGTATGCATGCTTGCGTATACTCTATACTGTGATAGCAGCGCTTTAGATTTTATAACTTCTTATGATTAAAGTGAATTA